TAATTACATGCTAGCATACTGTTAAGGTAGGTCATGACAATGTAATAGAGACATACTTATTACATAAACATAATATTAATCCTATAGTAATAAACAACATCGTATTATGATAGTTTAACTAGTTTTGCTTGAATAAATTACTAATTTATTATGACATGCCCATTTATGTCAGAATTATGTAAATGTATGCGGTTACTTACGATTAGAATACGTCCTTGGACCCATTATTACATTATAGCGTTTTAAAATCCCATATTGTTAGGATACTGTACAACATTTTATGGGTTCCATATCTTAATTGACAGATGAAGAAAATCCTATACATAGGTACTTACTCGTTCTGCCTCTAACTGTAAACGTTTGAAAATGGTTAATCTAATGAAATGCCTATTTAAAGAAAAGCCGCAAAAAACATATCCAACCCTCCTTCTGGCGCAGTCGGGTAAAAAAGGCAAAAAATTACCAAGTTTCCGTAAAAAAAAAAACTAATTTTGGCGATTTAAAGTTTATTTACTCGTAATATTCCCAACAATAAATATGCCCAAAAGGTCGCGGGAGGCGCCTGGATGCGAGCGGCGCAGCAGGACTGGTCTTTGTGGAAATCCTTGGGAGAGGCCTTTGTCCAGCAGTGGACGTCTTTCGGCTGAAACGAACGAACGATGCCCAACAATGGACTGCTAGTAAATAAGGCCGACTATTTTAAAAACAATAATAAAAATCTACAGTCCGCTCAGACAGTCCGATTGTTCTGTCGACTGTAATATGGACGCAGTTATGCAAAAAGGATCCAACTCACAAAATGCCAAAATTGAGTTTGATATACCAAAGAGTGCAAAGTGGTTACTAAAAAGATCCCGAAGAGCTTAAAAGATCCCTCAGTGAAAATTTCATGTGTATTGGATCTTTTTTGTGTCCACATTTCCTCGATAAAAACTCGCCAGCCCTAGTCTAGTCGGTGAATCGAGTTTAATATCACAAAATCGTGTTCTGTCACGCTCCAGCGGCGCGTCGCGGCCACGGCTCTACGAGAGAGCCCAATTCTGTAGCGATCGAAATCTCGCGGTTTGTTTTTCTTTTCTTTGTAGTTTAGAATTGCTTTAGAAAAAAGTTCGAGTTTGTTTAATTACTAAAAGAACTTGTCCAGAAACAATATAGTGAAGAAACATCATTGTTGTAGGTATATTACTTTTACACAAGTTTATAAGAGAGATGAGTTTAGGATGTAAATATTTATTATGTATTTATTAATTTAAGTTCTTTAATTTTTATTTAATTAATTTAGGAATAAATCTTAAACAAACGTAGTAACTATAGAATTAAATTTATTTATTTATAGGCATTATATACGTATTTATGAATATTTTTTCATTAACAAAGCAGACCTATTTAAACTATTCACTGTGAAAACTCAGAATCAGGTACTACATTATGTATGAATCTATGAGATGTGTCACCAACACGAAGGTAATGTTCGTTGCTAAGGAAAATAAGATTATTGTCTTGTATGTAAACACTTGTTAATTTTATGTAGGTACATAACAAGTATTTTATGTTATAAGGAAATATATTTTTCAAATACAAAGTATTGCATTCACGTATTTATTCCTTATAAGGCTCAAAACATAATTTATATCTTGTGTGTGTTATTTATTTTTTATCCTGTCTTATGAAAAAAAATTTTTAATCATCAATTAATCTGTACTATCTATACTAATATTATAAATGCGTAAGTAACTCTGTCTGTCTGTCTGTCAGTCTGTCTTGCTTTCACGCCTAAATCACTGAACCGACTTTGCTGAAATTTGGCATAGAGATAGTTTGAGTTCCGGGAAGGACATAGGATAGTTTTTATCCCGGTTTTTGAAACAGGGACGCGCGCGATAAAGTTTTTCTGTGACAGACAAAATTCCACGCGGGCGAAGCCGCGGGCGGAAAGCTAATAATTCATACATAATTACAAAATTACTACTGTTTTATGTGTAATATTTCCCTAGACATAGGCTCTTATTGTCCTATGCTTTGAAGAAAGTGTTTCATCACTCACATCATACAATAATGAGATTCCGTGTTCAATAATGCAACGGACGCATTCAATAAATTGCATACACACACTGAATGTATTACCGTCGTGAGTGACACTGACGTTTGTAGTTCATAATTGTAACAGATGGTTATTGTCTTTATTTACAGTTTATTGATAGATATCGTTGCCACAACTACAGGCCAGTGTGCCTGAGGTATGGGAGCGGCACTAGAGAGTGGTTTTTTTTTTCTATTTATTTGGCACAAAAACAGTCATTACAAATATAAATTCTAAACAAAAATAGTAACTAAGAAAAAAGACAACGAGTGCCCAAAAGTAACAATTAAATGAACAGATAGTTACAAGTTACTTAGTTTTTGTGCCGTCAAACATCAGCGACACTTCAGATTTGTATGCTCTTTCTTTTTTCTTTTCTTTTTTCAGCCAAATGACGTCCACTGCTGGACAAAGGCCTCCCCCAAGGCTTTCCACAATGAATGGTCCTGCGCTGCCCGCATCCAGGCTCTTCCCGCGACCTTTACCAGATCGTCGGTCCACCTAGTAGGAGGCCTGGCCTGCTTGTATGCTCTGTCACCTCATAATATGTCAATGTCACCCCTCCCGTGCCGCTCTTATACCTCAGACAATGACTGAGCTAGTCTTTAAATAGCTGGCATCAATATGAAATGCCTATCTGCAACAATGGCGGGTTTGCGCCATCCGCTTTGTTTTGCGAAGGCTATGTGTGATAAAGCGACTATTGCACCGTTTCATAACACAAAGGTGAATGGGCAATGAAATTAGATACTCTGTTACAGACGATAAATGATAGAGGTAGAAAATAAATGAACGATGGAGTTAAATGGTTAACATGACCTAGAAATGCAGCCAGCATCCTCGCCTCTTTGCCTCGCGGACGCACTTTTATTTTTGAGTAATTAATAAGTCTATATTTTTTTGTTTATAGTTAAGTTTTTGTTGGTTATTTTTCTGCTTATCCTACTTCCTTACTACTAATATTATATATGCAAAAGTTTGGATGTCTGGATGTTTGTTACTCTTTCACACAAAAACTACTGAACGGATTTTGTTGAAACTTCAGTTTTTTTTTTGCAAATAGGCTTTAAAAAAGCGCTTTTACACGTCCAAATATTAACCCTACCACTGCTTCGGGACAATAAATGGGCCAGTGCTTAGAAGAAGCAGCGCAAGAAACTCAGTCACTATTGTCAGCCTCCTTTTCAAGGTTTTACAGTCTTTAAAAGTCTTTAAGTCTATTATTGTTTGTAACCCAGATTAACATATAGGCTATAATTTATGCCGATCTGTGACATTAAATTTCATGCGGGTGAAGCCGCGGGCAAAAGCTAGTTGTAAATAAAGATATTACCTAGAAATCAAACAAAACTGACTTGTGTAGTCAAACAAAATAACAGTCAAAATATAGTTTGCCTGACAAAAATGTTACATTAGGCCGAAACCACAAGTCGACTTCCTTGTAACTACCAACTATCAAACCACATGTAATGCAATGCAATAAATGATTTGATTTGATTTGATTTGATTTGTATTTCAAAATAGTCGACGTATAAATGCATTTTGATGATATTAAAATGATATGATAAGAATGACCTCGTCTAGAGTGAGGAAACGCTTGACATAATAGGTATACGGATGTGAACGTGATGCGGTCGGTCGATACGTTATGATGTTTGAGAATGTGCATTTTTTGTTTAAAATTACATAAAAAGTTATTTATTTATTGTTGAGATATTTTTGTTAATGATTATTTATTTTTAAAATAATTTAAAATTTAAGCAGATGTTGTTAACAATATGGTGATCAAATATTTGTCCAAAATTTTAATTACACAGATTTCAACTCTAAGAATAAATGTTATAAAATGAAAATTAAATAACTGGATGATTCTATTGTTAAAATCCTAATGTTACAAGCAAATAAGACATATTTAAGAATTTACGCACTTTTACTTTGTTGAACAAAGAAGCTAGAAGAAAACCTTAACTTTTAAATATAAACAATCATTTTATGAACCCGTAAAAAGTAATTAGAAAAACAAACAATAAATAAACAAAAGTAAAACCGTGAGGTAACTTTCTTCAAGTTATTTTTTCAATGACCAAAAAAATAATTAAAAAAATAAATCAAAGTATGAGCGTCTTACCCGCGCGGCAGTTGCATTATCTCTGAGGGAAAATTTATATGCAAGCCGTAAAATGGTTATTGAAGTTGTTAAGACGCATAATGCTGACTAATAGGGAAATCTGACAGCAGACTAGAAATAAGGATAATGTGACATCAATAACATAGCTGCAGCTGTTATACATATACAAGGTAAACATTTAAAATATGCCCATAATATAAGGAAAATATCAGATACATTGTTATCGCCTATCAGTGGCACGGTTAAAAAATTGCCAAGTTTTTTTAAATGCCGCACGGTAATTACAATTATTAGGATCAAATGTTTAAAAAAAACTGTATAGTTAACAGCCTCTAACTGCTGCTTGGTTAGTAGATTCCAGTTGTTTTAATCGAACATCGCGTGATCTAATTCTTAATTAATTCGTAATTAAAACGTGGTAATTAAATCTAATCTATATTTATAGTTTCTTTCAAGCTTCAATCAAAAAAGATATTGCTAAATTGCCAGTCCTTAAAAGAAAAACATCATATTGTGAGTCCAAGTGGAACAACAAAGTTTTTAGAGGAAAATGAATTTGATTAGTACAATCCGTACATGGCTCTCTTTCGTCGACAAGCACTCCAAATTGGGATGACAAAGGCATGAAAATGAAAATTGTTCGTAAATTTTCTAGGTATTACCTAACGTTACAATAACTTCAAGGTAAAAAACAGGAAAATCGATATAATAGAGGCATACATTATAGTTCAGGCTGTACAAAGACAACCGGTCGCGATTATCCTCGTATGCTCGTATAAATAGGGAAGCGTGAGCCGTTGTCTTCACAGAACAACTTCTCATCTCCACAGAACCGTTTCTACTGAACTGAAGGGACAATGGCCGTGTTCAAGACTACCTTTGTGCTCCTGCTGATTGCCTTCGCCATGGTGATCGTGACTGACGCCGTCCGTGTGGGGCCCTGTGACCAGGTCTGCGACCGCATCGACGCTGAAAAGGACGAGTGCTGCCGTGCCCATGGCTACAGCGGTTACAACAGCTGTAGAGGCGGAAGAATGGACTGTTACTAACGACGTTAAGCCACCACAACTGAACCGTTTATAACCAATTCGCTTTCAAAGGTAATCCTTTACCATGTATTGTAAACCAAATTTTTTCTCTCCAATTTCAATATGTAATTTTTGTGTCATAAAATAAATATTTTGCAAAAAAACTTTCTTTTTTCTTACTACAAATCAATGTTTTATTTACTTAGTTTGTGTAACTATTGTCTCCCAGTGACGTCATGACTGTGACTTCATCATTAGAATATTATGATACTGATTTTATTATATATACTTGTCGCACATAAAGAACATTGCCATTTATGTAAAAATACAAAGGTGACCTGCGAGTCGCATAAGTGCATTCCTAACTGCTTCACATTAACATCAGCATCGCTTCCAATATGACAGTCTGTCAACATTCATCCCTGGCTCATGCAGACATTTGTCACAGTAATTTGTAACGGCACGGCAATGGATGTGCATCAAAGCGATTGCCATAGATGCCGAGTTACGAGTACACAAAGGAAGCAGGTTTATTAGACTCAAATTGTAGAATTATTACAAGCATGAATATGGACCGACTACATCATAAAGGTAGCAGGAAAGCGCTGGACGCAGAGCTGAAGCATTAGGGGAGGCCTATGTTCAGCAGTGGACGTCCTATGGCTGAGATGATGATGATGATGATGAATATGAATATGAATTTAATCTCTACTTGTCACTAGTTCTCTTCACAGAATGATTTGTCGGTTTTTGAATTAAAGGTACAAACGCGGAGCGCACGTTAGCGTCGTTCAAAAAAATCTAGAGCTTGTTGTATATTTCAATTACTTCCACTAGATTTTGACCTTTTCCTTACTTTCCCTCTCCTAAAACTGCATTGTTTTCTTTTCGAGTAAATACCTGCCTAAGTAAATAAGTCGAATTCAAAAATAGATACGAGTAAATTACAAATTATAATAGATGTTTGATCAATATAGAGATAATTATTACAAAAAATATTGATGGAGGTAAAAAAAATATCAGCAACCATTAATCTATAGTTAAATAAGAATAAGAAAAACTTTATTTGATACTAAAAGAAAATAAAAAACAGAACAAAGGGACTTAAAACTATACATACACGCATATTTTTGTGCCAAAAAGGCGCCCGCTCAGCATTAATCGAGCCACGCGTGCCCTGACGCTGGTTTTCAGCGTAATAAAAGTTCGTTTTCTTTATTCAGACTGATAAAACTCTATTTTTCATTTTTCTTGCAATAAGAACTGCTACACAATGGGAGAGATCATGAAATTCAGCAACGGAAATAATAATCAATTGCCTACTAAATATTATCCTCGGAAATAAGTAGGTTATTAAGTATTTTTGTTCGTTTCTCAATGTTGTAAAGGTTTAATCTTCTAATGATTCGTAACTAGAAGTCTTTCGCCGATAGCAATAGATTTTAATGACAAACCAAATGAGATGAAAGTCTCCTCAAAGTAGGTAGGTAGTACTTTTTTTAGTACACTGCCTGGCCCTTGTTAAGTGCCATTTTATGTTCAATATAATATTTAATTATAAAAGTCGCCCGACTAGTTCTAAGGCAATTTTCCAGCCAATTTGACTTAATTTTTCTTTTTAATTTTGTACCTTGTATGGATAAATTAATAATTGGGTACTTCTCATTTACACTCAAATTTGATGGTCACACAATAATAGTTCATAAACGGTATAAGTTAGAACAATACCTTTGAAATCAGATGATAAAATATCTATTTAGCTACATACAAAATAAATTTTATCGTAATAGAAGCAAAAATAATACGAAAAAATCACATGAAACGATAAAAAACGGGGTCACTTTTCGCGTTCTCATCGTGTCACACCTTCGGTTGCAATGAAACATTTGGTTACTGCATTCACAATTTTCATTCAATTTGTGTGTAGCATATACNCACATAGATTTTTTTTAATATTTTTCTGATAACCAGCATAACTTGCCTCAACACCCAGTTTCGGCTTGACGTTACATTACGGGACACCCTGTATATCTATGATGTATTCTTAAAATAGAATGTAATGATGTACCTACCTTAATACCAGGTTTTTAGACCTGGTACCGCACGGAAGTAATAAAATGTCTTCACAATGCGAAACCAGGTCGAAGAACCTTGTACCCTGCGCACCTGGTACCGCACCCCACGCTAGCTTCGTGCAGCCAGTGTTGCCTCGCATTCGTAAGAAACGCACATTAGGGTGTCCCGTCGTTGTATGGGAAAAAAATTTTTTTGAGCTACGGTTACGCAAGAGGTGTCAAAAGTTGCGTTTTGACATATAGATTACGATTAGCATTAAATTTAATTAGATATCTGTCATCTTGAGGCCTCTACCTGTCCTTGAAAATTTTTAAAATTGCTATTTTAGGGGTTCCTAACATAAACTATAAATAATACAAAAATAGCGTTTTTATGAAATTTGAGGGTACACAATGAGTCACAGCAAGGTTTAAAATAGTTTAAAAACCAATAAATCCATAAATACTTTAAAAACAGAATTGGCTTTTTGACCAGAATTAGGCATTTACGCGCGCGATTTTAATGTATTCCTAATTAATCCATGGGTCAGCCAAGATATCGATTTAATTTGAGGATACCCAATTCCCTTCTCACAGCAATTTAATAATTTTACTACGCTATTATAAAACAATGATTGGCATCTCTAAGTGGAAGCTAACAAAAATGGCAGTCAATTTTAGAAAATCAATCATAACTTGAAAACCATTTGTCCTATTTCATTACTTTTTTATTTAAATCAAAACTCTACGTATGCGCTTGATATTTTGTAGTATAAATTGTATCGATAAAATCAACCTTTAGTTAGTAATTAAAGGAAAATTGTTTTTACAATATTTTAATAACTAATAAATTATACGTGGTAAAGTAGAGATCAGTACATCAATAAATAAATAAGGGCCTCGTATTTTTGTTGTCTGTCTGTATGACTGTATGTATGTCTGTATATGTGACTGTGTAACTATCTGTTTGTAAGATAAATTTAATCTGAAGTTTGAGTTAAAAGTTGTACAACAAAAATACGAGGCCATCTGGCCTAAATAAAAAATATATTTTTGCTGAGGGACTGATAAATCAGTTAGAGTTCTTTTTATTTAGGTACTGATAATCCGTTTTTTGCTTCTTTAGCATTTCAGAATGCCACCAGTGTCACCCTTAAAACCAATTGCGTAGAATCTTGTAACTTAGTAGGTGACCTACTTAATCGGTAAAAATTTATCTTGTATTTAAGTAGGTGCCTATTTATATTATGTTATTGCTATTTATCTATGAAAATAAGACAAAATATATGTTTTATAAGAGTCATTTACAGTAGTAAAGTTTGAAAAAAATATTGCTGTGAAGTACAGAATCACTTTCGTGGCATCAAAAAATTCAAAACGTTAAATCTTCCAAACGAGACTCACTATTTGACTGATTTACTGAGAATACAATCTTCACATCAAGCGCTACAATTTTTGTTTACAAAAAGTTGAAATAAGTTAGAAATAAAATTCGCCACGAAGGTGACGATGAGAACCGTGACGATGAGAAATAGCCAATTACCTTTTTTGATTAAATAGGCAAACGATGGTCGAAATGATTGGGAAATTTTTCATCAGTAGATCTATTTTGTGTTTCTTGTCCGCCTAGCGACTTAAGTTTTTATAATACTGAACTTAATTTATAATAAGGAAAATAATTGCACTATTAAAACAGGTCAGAGTATGGAAAATGTAGGAGAATATGCCTAATTAAAATAGTAGGTATTTAGTACATAAACACTTGGCCAGTTTTCAGCAGATGACGTCTTAGGTATGGCAAAAATGATGATGATGATGATGATGAATCACTTTTTAATAAATATTTGGTAAGTACCTACCTATATTGTAAATGTGTTACCTGTTTGGAAATTGGAATTATATGTAATAGCTTAAAGGTTGATAAATACTTTTTAGTAACATATTTTAAAGGTGGGATTTTTTTAACACAAAACCTTGGGTTGCAAGTGTGTATACTCTTGCCACATACCTTCACAAAAAGGCATATGTTATTGGCAATATCAAAGATACCTTATCTCTCATCACGGCCGACTGCTACGGAAACCGACTCGATAAAAATCCGAATCCAATTAGTTGCGCCAACAATGTGACAGCAAAACTCACTGGTCATGAATCAGACGCACACTTCATTGAGCCCATACGAGTGCGAGTGTTCCACCGATAACGAGGGTGGATTTATGAAGCCCTGGGTTTTCAATTTCCGCTCCCTACGCCCTTCGCCCTTTCACCCCCTTCCACCCTTTCCCCCTACACCCCGCCATTCACCCCCGAGAGTAATGTTATTAAAAACGGACGCGGAGTTGAATATTTATCTGCACAAATTCCAGGACTCGAAAGGGTTTTGTGAAGGTTTTAATGAAATTTTTGCTTGGTTTTTAAGAAAACACTTTAGTTTGTAAATAATGTGTCTTTCCATCCAAGGCAAAACTTTTAACAGAAAGTAGTAGGTACAGCATTTATTGGGAAAAACAGGATGTAGCACTGTTTTTGGAAATGACTTGAAAAAGGGTAGGTAAGCCTTTTTTTCAGCTGGTAGAATAATACACCGGTCTCCAAACAGTCTACTAAACTCATCTTTATCATCAGAAAAATTAAAAAATTCAGTCCAACTAACTAATGGGGTTTTAAGGGACTCTACCTACCAAAAGGTCAGGATCTACCCACTAACAACGGAGGCTGCTGATGGAACCCTCGGTGGGGAATGGCCTCTAGCATTCGTCCGTTTTCCATCCGGTTTCACTCCTGGTTTATCATAAACACTGGCGAATGTTTCTGAATCTGGACAATACTCGTAGTTCTATTTTGTATTTTCTACAATTCTACATCATCACGTCAATGGAATGCTAGGCAAAAGCCTTCTCTAACCAATTCCACCAAGCCTATCTTCGTTTATCGCTTTGCAACCAGCAACTTCTTGCCATAAGTGAGTTACTTTATAAAATATAGGTAAGACACCCGAGTAAAATAATAAACAAACAAAACTTAACAAAACTTCGATAAACTGCGAACTTAATAGAAACTTCTTTTTATATCATAAAATTAAAAGCTCTTTTATTTCATTTGTAAATGAA